GGGGAAAGGCTTGAGCTTCTCACCGGGTTGGATACGAAACGGGCCTCCCCTTCCCACACGATTCCTGAGCTCATTCAGGTATCTCCAGTTTCACAATTTATTATGGTACAAATGTTTATGATAAAATTGATAGACTTCATTCCTGTTGCTTTCCTTTTTAAAATACTCTAGATAAAGCATTTCAGCTTATTTTTTTTATTTGATATTTTTATGATTTTTAAAAATATATTCGCTACTCTTTGTTTGTACTGATCACTGTCGAAGTCTTCTAGCCGACACGTTCATTGTTTCCACTCCTGTGCAATGTTTTACATATTACCTTACAATTTATGTATGGTTTTTTTTTTGGATTGGCGCGTATATAGATTACCATTTTCTAATGTGGCTGTTCATGGCTTATGACTACCCCCACAGAGTGGAGAGGAAATCCAATGTTAAAATTCCATGGGGTGATAATATGTAAAGCACAGGTTGACTGACTTTCGTCAGAATGTTTAAAGTTACAACCAATTTAATTTTTTTTTTTAGAACAACTTATTTAAAGTCGTAACAATTTAAGTCTACTGTTTGTTTTAACTATGCAATACTAGGTCTCTAACTAAGAGGCCGAACGAATTTCGGATTCGGCGCCAAAAGTTGCCATTGGATCAATTTCGGCGTGGTTTTGGTTTCAATTGGACTTAGGCAAAAGTCAATAGTTTCGTAGAAGAAGAAAAATCTAAGAGCATAGTAATATTTATATCATTATTTTTGTTTTATTTTTATTTTTTTTTTCAAAAATTAAATTTGGGAACCCTAGGTCTATTCAATTCATTCGTTTTGATTTATCATTATTGCGCTCATAAATATTGTAAGAGGCAAAGGTTAATAGTATTATAATCCTATGGAATAGTAACATTTCAATTATTATTTTTGTTTTAAATTGTATAAGAAAAAAGAATAATAATTAGGGAACCTTCATCATCATCCTGGTGATTAACATTGTCGTTGACGCAAAAAAAATGTTAAAAAAATATTCCACAAAAATATTCACGTGTATGGACACAGATGGCAAGAAAGGCAATAATGAAAATATATAATTTTTTATTCTACTTTTGCATAATTAGACATAAATTTGCCTTTATTTTAAATCACAAGCCAACACCCTCGTGTGGATGTATCACTGTTTCCTTATAATAATTATGTAGTATTAGTAGTAGTAGTAGTAGGCCTAATGTATTATCTTAGTAAACGTAGTTCAACATTCCTTCAACTTTTGTTTAATCTGGGTCAAATCTAAAATTAGCCGACAAATCATAATTGGGGATAAAAGGAAAAAAAATTAAAATGTCGACCAATAATAAAGTGTGTTTCAACTAACATGTATGGGTTAGCAGAATAAAGAGATCCTTCAAGGGTTATGTTTGGACATTTTTGTGGGACATACCAATAAATGAAAATTCATAGGCTAAGCTTTCGATCGATACTAAAGATGTCCAGTTAGCGTTGTAATTATATTATTTTAAAAAAGGACGCCCAAGTGTCCTTTTTTCATGAATTTAGCCCCAATCCCCTAAGTCAAGCTTTTCTATTAATTCAAGTATTCAATAGATTTTTATAATACCATTTTTTTATATAGACAAAATTTTAAATATTGCTACTGTCCTGATCATACTTCGACGTACGTAAATCATTTGCGCGAACGAGTTTCGATATATCTAAATCTTTCGGTTTTGGGTTTCGGTCGAAAGCCTCGTTGAGCTTTTGGTTTTGGCTTCGGTCGAAAGTCATTATAACATTCGGGTTTGTTTCGGTTTCCGCTGAATTCAGAAAATCACATTCGGCCCGTTTCTGTCCCTATCCAATCAACACTAGGCTTCTAACCCAATCTCGCTGTGTCACAAACTCATGACACTGTGTGTCTAGTCGAATCACACTGTGTCTCGTCCACTCACACTGTGTATCTATAGTCAAATCACACTGTGTGTCTAGTCAAAACACACTGTGTGTCTAGTCAAAACACACTGTGTGTCTAGTCAAATCACACTGTGTGTCTAGTCAAATCACGTTGTGTGTCTAGTGAAATCACACTGTGTGTCTAGTCTATTCACACTGTGTGTCTTGTCAAAGCACACTGTGTGTCTAGTTCAATCACACTGTGTGTCTAGTCCAATCACACTGTGTGTCTAGTCCAATCACACTGTGTGTCTAGTCCAATCACACTGTGTGTCTAGTCTATTCACACTGTGTGTCTTGTCAAATCACACTGTGTGTCTAGTCCAATCACACTGTGTATCTATAGTCAAATCACACTGTGTGTCTAGTCAAATCATACTGTGTGTCTAGTCAAAACACACTGTATGTCTAGTCCAATCACACTGTGTGTCTAACCAAATGGCCATATGTTCTATCCTAGTCACAAAAGGTCTCCCTCCCAATCACAAAAGGTCTCCCTCCCAATCACATTACGTCTCCACCCCAGTCACGGAAGGTCTCCACTCCAGTCACGGAAGGTCTCCACCCCAGTCACGGAAGGTCTCCACCCCAGTCACGGAAGGTCTCCACCCCAGTCACGGAAGGTCTCCACCCCAGTCACGGAAGGTCTCTCCCCTTAATTAAAACTAGATGCTTAAAGCATTCAAATCTCAGACTCGCGCAGCAGTCCCGCGTCCTCAACCATTCACAACGGCGGGAGTTGCTACAAAACAAGATTGCTTCTGTGCTCATCTCAAAATCTCTATCATGTATACTTTTTAAAAGTCCTAAACAAAAAATCCATATTTTTTCGGAAATTTTTTTTTTAGCAGTAATAGTAGTTGTTTGATTTGTTGCTTTTTAATATATTTTTTTTAAACATTATTTGTATTTTTCTTTCCATTAGTAACTTTTTGGTTTATTTGATCAATCTCAGCACATTTTCTCGTCCCATAATTTAAATGCTTGTATATAATTTCTTTTCGCAAGGTGATCAACTATGGATTTGGAGGTTATTACCTGCCCCATATTGATGCACAAGCGGTATGGAAGTAATGTTATTGAGATAGTTCTTTCCCCTTGTATCTCCCCTTTTCCTATATCCTTTTAATGGGATGCTCTTATAGTGTTTCCGGTTATATGCGGTACTATGTACTAAGTAAACAAAAGTGTCTTCGCCTATACATTGTCCCGCATCGTTTTGCATTTAAACTGGCTCTTGGTAAAGATAAAGATACATTTATTTAACTTTTTCTAAAGATAAAGATACAATCATTCAGAGTTTAATTTCTAAAATCTCTCAAAACTTTTCATAGCATGTATTTTTCATCATAATTCGGGGGATTTCTTTGCAGTAACATTCAGCTGGACGATTTTTGAGAATTAGTCCACAACATATTCCATATTGGAGGAGTTTTATTAATTTAATGCATTTTATGACTGTTTCGTGTATATCATTGCATTACAACCTCTAATGTAGAATAACTATCTCTGTACATTAGAACTACTGTACCAGTAACGATTACTACAACATAGACTGGAATGTTGTTTATAACTATGTAATCCTGCTCATAAAAAATAAACAAATTGTTATGATAAAAACGCCACTAACAAAGAAACAAACCTGATTTGGCTTTCAGCCGTATGAAAAGGTCAGGACGAAGGACAGTTGGCCAAGAAGTACAAGGGTCTTCACCTGCCTCGTCTATGTAAGTGTTGTTATATTACATGTCTACCTGCTTTGTCTATGTAAGTGTTGTTATATTACATGTCTACCTGCTTTGTCTATGTAAGTTTTGTTATAGAACATGTTTTCCTGCCTCGTCTATGTAAGTGTTTTTATATTACATGTCTACCTGCCTCGTCTGTGTTAGTGTTGCTATATTAAATGCTTGCCCGTCCAGTGTGTGTCAATAAATAGCGGAGCAAGATATGTTAAGGTTTAAATATGAAAGACTAGACAATTAAGCTGACGTTTCGGCTAGATGCCTTCCTCGGCGGAAAACACAATATAAAAAAAAAACATTTCAATTTGAATTAAAACAACAAAACTTTGTGCTATGGAAAGAGCTGAATGAAGTCAATGAAGCTCAAGATTCAGAACGTGGGGTGTTTCTGTTATTGTTTTGAAACGGAAGTTGAGTTGCTCGCAAACAAAAAGTGCGTCGCCCACATTATGCTGTGGTGAGTACAATCCAGGAAAAAGAATTTAAGTATAATTATTTTATTCAACTTTTAAACTGCAAAAAAATTGAGTACATAAGTGGATAGAGAAAAACAAAAGGAACACTAGTAAGAGAGTATCTTTTTATAGATTCCATATGGTGCCACGGATCTGAAATTAATTTGGTTTTCATTTTTCACTGTCACTAAACCATAGAAGCCAGAATGGTCATGTGGGTCCTCAAAATATTGAAGAAGGAGATTGCCCCTCCCCCCCCCTTTTTTCCGGTTGAAATGTAGACATTTAGACAGCTGGTCAGTGTAGCATAAAATTCCATGATCCTACTCAAACATTTCTTCCTGCAAGCTCCCCCCATTTTCTTACAATCGGCCCACAGAGATGCCATGTAGCCTCTTTCTGAAAAAAATGTCGTTTACTTTTGTGTGTGATCATTTATTTCATCTCTCTCTATCTCTCTCTCTCTCTCTCTTTCTCTCTCTCTCTCTCCCTTCCCTCTCTCTCTCTCTCTCTCTCTCTCTCTCTCTCTCTCTCTCTCTACTCTCCTCGTTTGTTTTTCTTCTTTCCTCTTTAAATTTAGTTTCACAAATATTAAAAATCAATCATCCACATTTATTGTTTTATTTATCTCTCTGAAAAAAATGTCGTTTTTTTTTGTGTGTGATCATTTATTTCATCTCTCTCTCTCTCTCTCTCTCTCTCTCTCTCTCTCTCTCTCTCTCCCTTCCCTCTCTCTCTCTCTCTCTCTCTCTCTCTCTCTCTCTCTCTCTCTAATCTCCTCGTTTGTGGTTCAGCTTTCCTCATTAAAATTAGGTTCACAAATATTAAAAATCAATCAGCCACATTTATTGTTTTATTTCAATAGATGAATGACGTTGAGAAGGGCGGTGCCACTGTATTTCCTAAACTCAACATTTCTGTTTTCCCAGTCAAGGTAGGGAACTTCATTTATCGTGTTTGCATTTTAAAATTATTTTAAACGCTTTTGTATAAAGTCTTTAAAACGAAACAAAAAGTATTTTATTTTTTTTTAATTATTTTCAGTAAACCTTTTAAGGGTACAAAAGTATTTGTTTTTTATAGCATAATTTTTTTTTTGTGGTCATAAATAGAGCAGTAATTCCACAGACCTTAAATGCCCATGAAACATTTCTATAATCTCTACCACCGATTTCCATCGATCTAACGATAGGCAGAGTAATCTCCTAACGTAAAAGAGAGTGGCCAAGGTTGAAAATTCGGAATTTGAATTGTTTTGGTATCTTTTTTTTCCAAACTGTATTTCCTTCTGACAGGGTAAATGGGTAAATAACACATACGTCAAAACCTTAGAAGCTAAATTTGTGGTGTATTAATACTATTCCATAAAACCATTTTTGAGGTTTAAACAAGATTAGGTAGCAATAATAATAGTGATTTCGGCAGAAATCAGAAAATCACTTTCGGTTTGTCTCTACCTAGTATAAATGTCTTAAATTCTCTCTACTCCAGAACATGGCTCTGATGTGGTACTATACTTATTCCTTGTATGAATGTCTTAACCTCTCTCTACTCCAGAACATGGCTCTGATGTGGTACTATACTTATTTCCTTGTATGTATGTCTTAAACTCTCTCTACTCCAGAACATGGCTCTGATGTGGTACTATACTTATTTCCTTGTATGTATGTCTTAACCTCTCTCTACTCCAGAACATGGCTCTGATGTGGTACTATACTTATTCCATGTATGTATGTCTTAAACTCTCTCTACTCCAGAACATGGCTCTGATGTGGTACTATACTTATTCCTTGTATGAATGTCTTAACCTCTCTCAACTCCAGAACATGGCTCTGATGTGGTACAACTTAAATCCTGCCGGAGAAATAGAAAGAAACACGCTGCATGCCGGCTGCCCAGTCGCGGTGGGCCATAAATGGAGTGAGTGAAGATGGTTTTAACATTACAGTGATAGCCATACCATTATATGCACACGTTATGTTAGCAAACATACAACATTTCAGTGATAGTCATACCATTATATGCACACGTTATGTTAGCAAACATACAACATTTCAGTGATAGTCATACCATTATATGCACACGTTATGTTAGCAACCATACAACATTTCAGTGATAGTCATACCATTATATGCACACGTTATGTTAGCAAACATACAACATTTCTGTGATAGTCATACCATTATATTCACACGTTATGTTAGCAACCATACAACATTTCAGTGATAGCTATACCATTATATTCTTTCGTTATGTTGGCAATCATACAACATTTCAGTGATAGTCATACTATTATATTCACTCCTTATGTTAGAATCCATTAAATGTAAATTTTAAATATTACTCACATCTTTTATATGCACGGTATGCAAATGATAAATAGTTGTTATTTTAATTAAACTGAATTAATGAACGTATCTCTTTTTTTTAAATTTAATTTTTGTATCTCACATTAAAATGAGCAAAATTAAATAATTTTGTCTCTATACATGCATTGAAACATTTTATTTTATATTTAATATTTTTGTTAAAATCAAAATTATTGTATTATTAATTAGTTTGATTAACATTTTTTTTTTGCGTTACAGATTTACAAAATTAATTACAGGAGGCACAAATTAGTCTTTAAACTATAATATATTAAATTACCTTATTAAAAAAAGCAATGAACAAGTCAATATCTTAAACAAAGTATTAAGTAAAATGAAAAATTATTGACGGAAACCCGTGCCATCTGTAATTTAAACTGATTTTTAAGGATTTTTAAGGAAGACGGACTACACGTTTAAATCTGGCCACGTTTATGTGACACATGAATTAGCCAAACAATAGATGCCCGTTAGGTTGTACTGGATAATTACAAATTATTCCGTCGAGACAGAAAAGACAGAGGAGAAGGACTACTTGTTTCTGCCCATCACAACCTGTACTGCCACGCTGTTCCTGAACTAGATGTTGATGACTGCGAGCTCCTGTGGGTGAAAGTGAACTTGAAGGGTAGACAATACTCTACGTTTGTGCCTATTACAGACCCAACATAGCAGATGAACCAAGCCTGAAGAGGTTTGAGGCATCGCTTCAGAGAGCGACACAGTCGAAAAAACGCTTTTCTCCTTAAAAAAAAAAGGGGGGGGGGGGTGATTTTAACTTTCCAGGTTGGAACTTGCAGATTCTAGGCTTGAAGCCCAAGTCCCCATACCCTGTCCTCCACTCAGAATTCATGGAGATGATTAACAACTATGGTCTGGAACAGCTGGTTAAAGAACCAACGAGAGGGAAAACATTCTTGACCTACTCCTCAACAACTGTTCACATCGTGTCACAAAAGTTGAGGACATCCCCGTGATATCAGACCACTGCATACAATATTGTGAATTTCAGGTCATCACACTAAAAAGAAACAGATCATACTAGAATTCCCAATGTATGCCAAGGCAGACTGTGATAGCCTGAGGAATGCAACGACAGAGCTGAGCTCATACATGCAAGAGATTCAGGGTTCAGCGACAACAGAAGAGTTGTGGTTGAAGTTTAAGATAACAATCTTTGATGCAGTGAAAAAACTCATACCATTCAAGACCACAAAACCTAAGATAAATCAGCCATGGGTCACGGCTGAAATCCGTAGGCTCATCCGCAGGAGAGACCTCCAAAACAAGTGATTGAAGAAAATGGCTCGGTTGAACTGTGAGAGGAGGTACTGAGGCTCCACCGAACCATCCAACGCTTATTGCGCAGATCTTATTGGAACTACCTGAACGGCATCTTCTCAGAGGAAGACACCCCGACCAAAGATGTCAAGAACAAGCGCTTCTGGAGGCCTACCGCGTCATGAGCGAATCCAGATATCAGAGCAGAGTGTGCTTGCCCTCTTTAAAACCATTAAGCCCTACAAAGCATGCGGTCCTGACAACATCAAACCACGAGATCTCAAAGAATTAGCCAAAGAAATCGCTGCTGCACTGAATATCCTCTTGCAATCGTCGTTGTGCACAGGCAATGTTCCAGCAGACTGGAGAACAGCGCATGTCACTCCAATCTACAAGAAAGGGGAGCATTCCGACCCTGCCAACTATCGTCCGATATCCCTCACCAGCGTCGTCTGCAAACTGTTGGAGCATATAGTCGTAAGCACAGTCATGAAGCACATTGAAAGCCAAAATATACTCAGTGAATGTCAAAATGGATTCCAAGTCAACAGATCATGTGCGACCCAGCTCCTAGAATTTGAAGAAGACTTGATAACAATCTGGAGGACAGCAAGCAAACTGACATGCTTGTGATGGACTTCTCAAAAGCCTTTGACCATGCCAAACATAGTTTGCTTCTACCCAAACTTCAGAGAAATGGGATCCAAGGCAGTACTAAAAGAAGGATATCAAGCTTCCTCAGCAGTAGTGTTGGATGGTACAAGCTCCTCCTTTGTCGGTGTGAAGTCAGGGGTCCCCCAGGGATCAGAGCTAGGCCTCTGTTTGTTCATAGAATACATTAATGACCTACCCAAGAAACTGACATCCCAAGCAAAACTGTTCGCAGATGACACAACGGTGTATAGGACGATCGCAAACAGATCTGACCAGGACCAGCTACAACAGGATCTCTGAGTGGGACATGGAATTTCACCCTGCCAAGTGCCAGACACTGTCAGTCTCTAGAAGTTGTATTCCTCTACACTACTAATACGAACAGCATGGCCATATACTTGAGCCAGTTTCCTCTGTAAAGGCTGGGTGTTACAATTCAAAGAGAGGTCCGCTGGGATGAGCATATTAACAATATGTGCAACCAGGCAAACAAGACCCTGGGGTTCTTAAGGCGTAATATAAAGATTGGCAACTCCTGTGTGAAAGAAAGGGCCTATAAAACCTTATTGATAGGTTGTAGATTATGCATCTTCAGTCTATGACACATTTACCCAGAAGAGCATGGACAGGTTGGGGGTGGTCCAGCGACGGGCAGCACGCTTTTTCCTGAACCGCTACAGGAATACCTCTAGTGTTAGCAGCATGCTGGAAACACTAGGCTGGTCACCATTGGAGGAACGACGACGACTATTCAGGTTCTCGATAATTTACAAGATAAATAATGGGCTGCTCCACTCCAGCATTAAACAGAAACTCGTCCCTCTCCCCCAAGAGACAGTAACGAGGCCATGACAGGCAATTCCGGCACATACCAGCGAGAGGCCAGTATAGGAACTCTTCTTTCCTGCTAAAGGCAATCAGGGACTGGAACAAGCTTTCAAAGGGAACAGTTGAGGTGACAAAACTTGACACATTTGAGTCTATTGTCTCAGGCCTTCTAGCCCCCAGTGCATGATACTCTCACAAAGTAGCCCTTGCAACCAGTGAAATATCCTCATCAACACCAGGCGCAGAAACATTGCAAGTCCCCTCTACATGCATAGAAGCCAAAATGATGAATAAATTGATCGTCGCCCCTTTAATATATAGAAGAAAGAAGAGACTTGCTGTTGGAGTTTTTCGAAAGAAAAAAATAATTCTTCTCGACTTGGGAAAAAAATAAAAAATATTAGTCTTGCATTAGTTTGGTGTTTTGGGTGAGTGTCTCTTGGAGTGAACAGCAGATGAAGAAAGTGTGCTCGAGTTGGCAAGACGTTGATATTAGTGCGTCGATGAAAGTATAAAGTGTTGTGGATATTCAGCTATAAAGAACGTGAATATTAAATAATTACTTTGATTTGAAAAAATGTGTCCATAGACGTTGCCCAGAAATAGTGGGAGGGTTCTCAAACAAACACAGAACTTACTATTTCGTATTAATTAACGTGATGAACATTTCTTATTTTATGGATGTGACAACCGGGGAGGGGAGGCAAATTTGAATTTTATGAGTAGTAATTCGTTGTATTTTAAGAATGAAATGAATGAAAGTAAAATAATTTCGCAAGTGAAAATTAGAGAGTGTCATGCGCCAATACAAAAACAACCACTAAAACATAGTTTTTCTTATAAATCTTTGATGTAATGTAATGTAGATTATTTAGTGCCCCCCCCACCCCCACAACTCCAAGGCTCACACCCGCATATTTCTTCGCGTCCCTGAACTATATTATTCTATTGTGCTCTGGTTTTTTTTTGTTATATTTTCATTTCTACTGTTGGCTGAGGAAGGCTTTATGCCAAAAGTCCTTGATTTTTGTCCTGTTATCTTATTCAAGCTTCCACATACCTCGTTTTGCTATTTCATTCATCTAAAGATTCACCCGCTTTTTACACCGCAGATTAGTTTCACCAACTATTTCAGAGACGTTAAAAGAAAATATTACATACCAAACACACTTGCGATATTTTTTTTAAAAGAATCTCATTTGGTGCAGTTATATAGAATTTTATTTCATGTTCCTCTTGAAAAAAAAAAGGAAAAATTTATTTTTGGTGTGTGGGGCTGACAATTTGATTAGTATGTGTTGTCATCGGCAACGAATCTATGTGCCAAATTTCAGCTCGATTGGTTGACGGGATTTACAAGCTTATCTTGCACATACAAAAAAGTATTCATATCTATGCACACACATACAGAAATTTTTAAAAAACTTATCTTTTATTGTACTCATTTCAGTCCTACCCCCACCCAGCTCCCCATTTTTCACAAATCCACTATCTCCACTTGCAGTTGCAAACAAATGGATCTGGACCCCAGGGTCTCTGCACCGTAGATGTGGGCTGTCTGTGAATGCAACCAACCTTGAGATGGAAAGAGAGATGAAAAGGGGTTACAGGTGAAAGACCTGTGTTCACAATTCATTGGGCCGGTTTAAAGTCATCTATCTTGACATTGTCCACATTTTAAACACACAATCATGGCATAATAGGATTCAACTTGTGATGAAATAAAGCATTGGATTGATTTATTTTAAAATTTGTTTCTATTCCTCTTGTTGCTGTTATTTTTGCTGCCATTAGTG